CTCTTCATGATATATAACATTCTCATCTCTACTTCCCCGTTCCTGGTTTCGCGCAACTGCGTTGCGCAGCTACTTATATTATAAAGCAAAATATTAATTAATCGGCAGAACTTGCAGCATATATACACACACACATAAAGGTTTAGTACATAACGCAAGGCACTGACGAATCAGCATTTGGCAGCATACAATGCGATACTTGATACGTGACAAATAATCGGAATGTGACAATTAGGTCACGAGGACCAATCAAATATAAGATTTTGCGGAGTAACACCATTTCGATCTTCATATAACCATGCACTACGTGATATGCATCACTCCGTTCCTGGTATGGGATGTTCTATATAATAGATGGCAATATAAGAAATAAGCTTCGCCGATGATTAGTAATCATAATTTTTTAATACAATCACGTGATATTTGGCGGAGTTTCCCAACCTAGTCCAAAATTGTGCTACATTAGGAAGTGTGTTATTTTTGGATGCCCATAGCGCTAATGTCGAGAACATATGTTATTTTTGAAGGATCCGATTTCAAAATAATACCACCGAGCGTTATTTCATCTTATACGGTAATTTGTTGAATGAAATCCGTTCAATTGCGTTCCCAGGGTTTTAAGCTGGAATTCTCTGATGCAATCATTAATATTCTCATTTTTACTTGTTGGGATCACATGCCAAACGCCATGCTTTAAACGTGTTGTCTTTATTACAATATATCTTTTTCCGAATTTGGGTCAAAATCCCGAAAAACGGATCTCCGAAAGAACCTAATACCGACAAAGTTAGCCGGCACTAGCCATAATGCTGGCCAATTTAGTCGGTGTTATGTTCTTTCGGTAATCTGTTGTTCGGGATTTTGACCCAAAATCTCTTTTTCCGTATTTAGGTTATCATTTTAATCATTGTCAAATATCATATTAATATTATATATATTTTTATATCATTAAAAATTTAATATAATACTCATTGACCTAATAGAATGGTGTTTGTAAACATGAATCACTTTTAAATCTACCGATTAATAACCCATCTTTATATTCGTCCACTAAATTAAGGTGAATGATGGCATACGGTATTAATACAACATACAATACTTATACGGTATACGGGATTTATACGGCATGCGGCACTTCTACTTATACGGCAAATATGCCGTGATATTTTTGCTGGGGTAGCTTCCTCCAAATTTCTAAATGTATGCACCTCTAATCCTGCATATGTGACTTTATTTATTAAGTAACTCCAGTTATAGTATTACGGTATCGCATTATTACAATACCAAGGTATTATAGAGCTATGATATTGGTATTAAGGTATTACGGCATTACGGCATTACGGCATTGCGGCATTGCGGTATTACGGTATTACGGTATTGCGGCATCGGTATTGCGGCATTACGGAATTACGGCGTAGATTCTATGCCGTAATTCAGTAATTTTACCGCCAACACTAAGACACCCTACCCTCAAATCGCGACAAAAGAATTTTTTTTAAAAAATTTTTTTTTATATAAACCATTAAAAAAGTACTAAACAATGTTAAAAAAAAGACAAAAGAATAATGACTGCCAACAATCCTCAATATTTACCTAAACGTTTATTTACTCTCATACAAGATATTTCTCGTCTTTATACAGAAGCTGATGATTTCAACTTATATATTACTGTGGGAAAAGAACCAAATATTGAAATATTTAAAGCACACTCAGCTATTTTGCGTGCTAGATCACCTTATTTTCGAGCTGCTTTATCAACAAATTGGGCCAAGAAAGAAGGTGATATAATCACTTTTCAAAAGTCAAATATTACTCCAAACGTTTTCAGAATTATTTTAAAGTAAGCAAATACAGTATAATGATAATTTGATAATTTGTTTAAAATTTTGAACCAATTGAATTATTTATTTATTAAATTAACAAACTTTAGATATATTTATAGTGGTGATGTTGATTTAGATACCAGCATATTAGAAAACAATATTTTAGATCTGCTTATTGCTTCAGATGAATTAAATCTTATTGAATTAGTCGACTATATCCAAGAATATATAACATATAGCTTATCGATCTCTAGTAGTCGCCCTCTGGAAGATCTGGATAGTGAAGATGTGGTTATGAGTTTCTGGAATCCCGTGGATTTGTTTCGACAAAATATCCGACAAAATATCGTACAATTGTTTAATATAGCTTCGTATAATGAATCATTATTTGGAAAACTTTTATCACATTGTGTCAATTTAATCATTGACGAGCCACAATTATTATTCTCATCTAATGACTTTGGATTATTATCAGAAGATGCGCTAATCTCTATCATCACTAATGATAACCTTCAAATGAAAGAAATTGAAGTTTGGGAAAGTGTGATTAGATGGGGAATTTCGCAAACAAATGTTAGAGATCCAGATCCTATAAATTGGAGCCAAGAAGAGTTTCAAAAATTAGAGAAAATACTTCAAAGAAGTATTCAACATGTTCGATTTTATCAATTAACAAGTACAGAATATTATTACAAAGTTCGCAAATACAAAAAACTTTTACCAAAAGAACTTCGAGAAAATCTTAAATTGTTTTACATTATTCCAAACAGCGTTCCTGAATCAGAAATTTTACCACCACGAATTCTGCATGCTTCCAAGATTATTAATCCAAACCAAGCGGCATTAATTGCGAGTTGGATAGATCATAAGGATGGTTCAACATACTATCTTCCAAAAGAAATTCCATACTCCTTTAAATTACTATTAAGAGGAAGTCGAGATGGATTTTCTGTTGAAGATTTTCGGAAAAGATGTTTTAACCAGGGTGCAACAGTGATCATAATTAAAACAAAAATGCAATCTACAGCAACACCATCAACATCATCATTTCAAAGACAAACAAGAACAGGACAAATAATTATCGGTGGATATAATCCAGAAAGTTGGCTAGGAACAAATAAGTTTGTTTCATCCACAGAAAGTTTTATATTTTCATTATGTAGTGATACAAAAACACAAATTGTAAGTAGAGCAACAACGTGTCGTGCAATCTCTGATGATAATGATCTAAATATTGGATTTGGATGTGGGGATTTATCTATTTTTAAAAAGAGTTGTCGAAAGAATGACTATATGTATGAGATTTTGGATAGAACTGAATTTACTATGAATGAGATTGAAGTTTTTCAAGTTGTAAAAAAGGAAGATTAGTACGGTGTACCATAGGTACACAAAGTGACATGTTTTGTAATTCAATGTTTTAATGTTTTAATGCTTTAATGCTTTAATGTTTTAATGTTTTAGTGTTTTAGTGTTTTAGCGTAGTGCAGTAGTGTTCTAATATGGTAGATCTATGTTGTGTTCTTGATATCTATATAAGGTGGCTGCGCGACGCTGTCACGCGAAACCAGAAACGTAAATTTATGAATTTATTCAATTAATAATTTTTAGGTATGCTGCAAATTACCTAAAATATCAAAACTTGCTATATACTCATATATTAAATTATGTATAAGATTTACCTAGTTAATCATTGTTTTACGAAATTACAATATTTGCTGAGTATTAGCAATTTTTAGAAAAATCACAATTTCAAATACAATGCTATATTAATGATAGCTAGATATGATTACATAATTAACTACAATAAGTTTAATAGTTAAGATTTGGTTTAATAGTAATAGTGGTGATATGAGTGCTGCCAAGGGAAAAAGGCCGATCGGACTTTTAATATATTTTGTGTACAGTTAGCTGTCTATGGAAAATTTATCACCATAATAAATTTTTCAAAGGCGGTTAACTGTACACAAAATATATTGAAAGTCCCTTGGCAGCACTCATATGATAGCTGGTGGTTACCGGATAGCCGGATTATAAGATTGCTTAACGGATCAATATTTTTTAAAATATCCGGTTAAGTTATCAAGTTAGTTTATGAGCGACGCCAAGGAAAAACAGGGTTTAATCATCTGAAACTTATCTCATTTTCTCTTGGCATCATTTATATGATATTTATATCTGGCTTGTCTATCCTTGCCATATTTGATTGTAAAATGTGATAAATCAATTTTTGTTATAAATCTTATGATAAAGCATAAGAAAATGCAAGCTTTAAAGAGCTATACTGACCATACAAGTTGTTTTTGAAGGGATCCAATCAACTCACCGACAATTAGTTAGTAGACTCTGCATTTCACTGACAATTACTTACCGACAAGCTCACTTCACCGACAGTGAAGCTCATCTTACAGACAAAGTAATTCTGGTCAATATCATTATGGTCAGGTTGGAATTAGAGTTAAAGTTAAGTAATTTATAAAAAAAAACTTGCCAATTAAATGAGCTTCGGTGAAATTGACTGTCGATAAAATGAACCTGTCGGTGAATAATTGCGGTGGAATATGTGTTTATGAGTGATTGTCAGTGATCCGTTTTTGAAGGATCCGATTTCCAAAATAACGCCCACGAGCGTTATTTCGCACTTATACAGTATTTTAAAACTATACCATGCTGATCTTGCCATCAATATTGTGAAATTTGTGGATCAAGAAGAAATCACTATTACAACTTTATATGGCATGCTGTCATGACATTCAAATGAAGAATAACCATTGCGGGAAATAAGCCGGTAGATCTCCGGTTATAAGGGCCGTTCGGGCCCTCATATAGCCGGGAACTTACCTCTTATTCACTTTTAATTTGATTTCTTATTTCATTATTTAGTGGCGATGATTATGATAGTGGATGTATTTAAAATAACTCATTTCTTTATATTTATATTAATCTAGTCTGTAAGTATAGTCTAAAATATGACAAAAAAATCTTTGCTGCTCCTTTTCGCAACGGCGGAATAAGAGGTAAATTTCCGGTCATATAAGGGCCTTTATATAACCGAAGATCTACGGTTTATTTAAAAATAAGGGTGTTATATTCTTCATTTTGTATGACGACGGATCATGTAATTTATAGAAGTGATATCTTTTTTTTTTGATTTACAAATTATACATCTTCATACAATATCGATAAACGAGATCAGTATGATATAGAGGTTCAGGTTAGTATTGTATAGTTTTTAAAATAGGTATTTACATCCTCTTACATATAATTTGGACACCAGATATTCTGTAATTTCTAAAATACTTATTTTGAAACCCATTTTGTACACTCTGCTATTGGGTATTTTATACATTTTATACGAATTTGATCACATTTTATACGCCTTGGAGGATAAATACTATTTACTCTCATAGCCATAAACTCATATTTTTAACGTTAAAATAAATTGGTAATTCGAAATAAGTTAAGAATGTAAGTTGTACCTTATTTTTACATGAAAAAATGATTTGTAAAAATGTACAGGACACACGTGATGGATGGTAATTTATTATCGTTATAAGAATATATATATATATGAGGATAATTTTAGGGCTTAGACAACGATAATAAATTTAAAAATTTAATTCTATTTATTATAATAACGGGTTTTTTAAAAATTAGATATACTTATATTTTAATTAAAATGATTGTCTAGATACGTACTTACAGTACAGGACTCATTAAGCGCATGCCATTACTAGTTCTAATTAGACAGGTTTGAATATTTGTTTAAAGGTGGCTTTTGTGTAATAAACGAGTAATAAACTAATTATTTGGAGTCTATAATAAATAATAATAATAATAATTAATATGTTGGTGCATTTAATTAGTCTAACAGATTTGGTCCTAATCAGCTCTGGGCCGCAGCCCGGTCTAACTTTTTAAAAGACTGCCAACTAACAGCCCTAGTTTAGATATGTATCTATTACTTTTTTGCTTATGCCCATTTAACGCTACTAATTTTTTTTTCTCGATTGTTTCACGATGGCATGTGATCACAGGTTACGAAATATATTCTCAAGGTTTTGGCGAGATGTTATTTCTCAACAAGCTTTAGCAGAGATGTAAACAGATCAAATTAAGGGATATTTTTTATGTATTAAGAAATATCTTTGCTCAAATGATTACCATATTTGTTTAACAAATGCACACTGTACTTATTTCTGCCATGATACAAACCCAAAAAAGAAAATTTTCTAGTGATCTAGTATTTATTTGGAAGCACACCAGCACATAATGCCGGATACTGAACTTTATTAGCTTAATTCAGCGCAACATACAGCATACATCAGTGCATTTGATGTATAGTTGATTTAGCTATTTGTGGTCAGCCGGTGGTTTCCTACCCGCCTACGCAGGCCGGCTGTTGACCAGGAATTTGCAGGCAAGCTATTGCCGTTTAAGATTAACGCTTAAGATTAGCCGGTGGTTTCCCACCTGCATAACGCAGGCCGGCTGTGTACATGTATGATTGCAGGTGCGAATTTTCGGTTTTTTTTCGGCTGCCTATGTTCATCTCAACGCCCGTGCATTTTATATATAAACAAAACTTTCGTTATGTTAGATTCATGTGAAATGACCTGATTTAGTAATTAATTAAAACACTTATCTTCTCCTGCGCCTTCCTTAATTCGGATGGTGATTAAACCGGTTTTTCTCCGCTGGCATCCTGGTTTTACTGTGATTGTCGCCACGCCGGGGCCTCCCTGCTTAGCTCCCTTTTCGATCAGTTGACCTTGCTGTCAACTAGAACGAACAGGATCGCGCTCTAGTGATCTAGTATTTATTTGGAAGCACACTAGCACATAATGCCGGATACTGAACTTTATTAGCTTAATTCAGCGCAACATACAGCATACATCAGTGTATTTGATGTATAGTTGATTTAGCTATTTGTGGTCAGCCGGTGGTTTTCCACCTGCCTACGCAGACCGGCTGTTGACCAGGAATTTGCAGGCAAGCTATTGCCGTTTAAGATTAATGCTTAAGATTAGCTGGTGGTTTCCCACCTGCATAACGCAGACCAGCTGTGTACATGTATAATTGCAAAATGGTAGAATTTAGTGTTCTTCCAAAAATGTAATTCTGAATTCTGCCATTTGTCATTATAGCTACAGGTTCATTTATTTGTTCGGAGACACATACGTTCTGCTCCTTCTATTTAGGCTGCGTCACTCATCGCTGTAATTATTATTCTTTATTAGACTATCGCTCTTTATCATTTCCGCTATGTACATATACCTCTGTGTGTATGCATTCTTAGCATGTATACATGAGTTTTTTTTTTTTTTTTTTTCTTTACGCATATTCCAACATCGATCGATCCAAATGTAGATAGGACTTAATGTCCATGATCGTTTAGTTGGAATATGCTCTGTTTAGTATGGCAGCCACCGTTGCAGGATGTGTCCTGATATATTTATAAAATGCGTCAGATGACCATCTGCTGATTTTTTGAATGAGTGCGAGTTCAACGCCTCGTATTACCAGCTCTGTCGTGCCACCGGCCCGGAAGCTGTGTCCTGCTATGTTGTCGCCAGGTAGGAGTGCTTTAAGTTTCTGTATGACTAGTGTTTGGTTGCCAGGCTACCATCCATTTTCATGAATAATATGTTTTTCCCAGAAGCGTATTTAGGGTCTGTCCTACGGATGGCGTATGCTTTGAGTACCTGGATAGGACACGTTTCATCCTTAGTTTTAGTGATGATTAGCATTGGCCGTTCGGTTGTCTTGTAGTTTTTCGTCCTTGGCAGTTGTATAGTTGCATATGATCCACCCCTGGTGCTTTCGAATCTTAAAGATTGCAAGGATGGTACCTTGGTTGCTTCTTGTTGGGATATGGGTAGTAGTTCACCTAATCGGGCTAGGCCGTAAAACGCTACATATGCTACTACTATGAATAGTAAATCTTCTCCCTTATTCAGGTTCAATTTTGCTTTTATTTTCTGTAGCTGAGCCCTTGTTATGTGTTCTTTCTGCTGAGTAGGTTTGAATGTGTGGGTAAGTTCTATCGTTTTTAAAAGTTGCTTGATTAGCGGGTCGTGGCGAGTATTATTCCATTCCATGCGGTTCATTGTGTGGTGATGTCGTAGTGCAGATAGGTAAGAAGTGATCGTTTGCGGTTCGACTTTCGTGTGTAAGTACTTGATATATTTTGTTAAATTTTCTTTGGATATTGGCCATATAGACCCGTTTAAATTCACCCATTGATTTTCTTCCGCTAAATTTTGGTAACGCTTTATAATTCTGGCATAAGTTTTGTACCCAGGTGCTTGAACTCCTAGGATCTTTGCTGCTTGTTCATTCAAAGGTGCTTTGTTTGCCTGTGTACGTGG